ATTTCAAACGCTCAACTGATGTGTTCTTAATTGACCAGGTGCAGGAACCCGGTCATAGTGGGAAGTTTGTGGGATCAGGAGATGGACACAATGGGAGATCATTATCCTTTTTTTGGGGGGGTTGTTCTAGACCAGTTAGGCCAGTTAGGCGTCAACACACGAGGCATTCACGAAACTATATTGAACCATGAAACTCTACATAGAATAACTCTTGAAATCAGCCACCTATCTGGACAGCCGATCCTCCTTCAGGCTCTTAGATGTGGTCCAGGAACCAGGACAAAACTACAATCCTTCCTCCTCACGCCAGGGAAGTCACCATGCCTAAACCCAACCAAACCAGTCATCTCTCCCGCAAAACCTCCAGGCGAGTCGATCAAGCAATTGCCTCCAACCAGGATGGTGCCTTCCCTCCATACCAGTTCCGAACCCAGTGCAGCTTCAGTGGCTTAAACGTGAGCCAAAGCTTGGCCGTGTCCTCATCGATCTCGTCCAGCGTCAGCTTCCCCGAGTTGTCGGTATCCTCGGTCGTGGAGCAGCGCGGAGTGCCGCAACACCCGCGGGCGCACCGGGGCTCAGTTCGTTCGGCGGCGCCGTGGCTTTGGTCGCTCAAGCTCTCCGGAAAGGACACACCCAAATGATGAGATATGATGAGTATAGATCACCTTGTTGTAGGTCTTAGAAGCGCCCCCAGTCATGACACCATCTCCTATAACGCACCTCGTCGGTGCTTTATAGTCAGCGTCATCGAGCACCGACATGTTTGTGTCACCCAACATGGCTCACTTGGATTTTGGCCTAAGGAACCAGGAAAACATAACACATCATAATAAGACAACATCCTCCCCAGTTTCAGGGGATTCACCTTCGGGGTCAACACAGAAATCACCCAGAAACTGCAAACAAACACGTGCGAACCCCGAAGGGGTCGCTGAAAACTGGACAGTTCGGCAGTTCACCTGGTTTAGAAGGTCGCCCATCCCAGGCCCAGGCAGGGCCATGTGTGGGCCTACCCGTGATGTGTTCTGAAAACTGGTGCTGAACCTCCCCATGCGATGCGGAACCTCCAAGGGACCCAAGGGTCTTCACCGTGGGAACATCAGCCAAGCTCATGCTTTTGCATGCAAAAAAACAAACCTTCAGGTCCCCGAGGAAAAGCGACATGCTGCATGCTGAAAAAAGCACTCAACACCACATCCAGCTGTCGTGTGGCCAAGCGCTGGAAAAGCAAATAGACGTCCCCTGCATAGCCAGACTTCTCCTGAGGCAAGCCATTCTCCACTGTCGAAAAGAGTTGTGTTCGGATGGGGGCCGTTGACGGACGGGCTCAGGCAGGCTCGCACCACATGCTAAGGCAGGCTCAGGGAGGCGTTAACTCCCAACTGAACCATTCCCCTACACCTCCAAGTGCCTCCTCAGAATGTATTTGGACTCGCAACCCCACCCCTAGGGTTCTTGACCATCCTGGAACTTCTTGTGACCTATAGGATCCTATAGGTTCTGTAGGTACAGAGGTCATGAGGTCTTTGCAGGCAAGCAGCACCACCTGATCAGCACCCTGTCCAGACGTGACATCATCACCGGTGCGCAAGACATGTCACACAAACTCGCTCCAACTCGAGGTGATTCGGGGTATCCATTCATCACCCCATGGCCCGGGGGCCCTGGTATGAATCGTGGTGTCTGGTTCTTCTTGGTCCTTCTCTGTGTTTTTGAGGGGCCCGGCCTGGGACCCCCGGGATCCAGGTCCAGTCGTACCGATCTCCTCAGGTTCGACAGAGCCGGAGCCCTCCAAACCGTCCGATAACAAAAGGGTGTTTTTTTGGGCTCGGGGGACACATCTCAACTCACCCACTCGACATCGAAGGCAGGCGAAGATAGTCGAAGCAGTTCGACTTCGTGAGGACTTCGAAGGCCGGTCCCCCAGATAGAAACAGCTTTCCAATAGATGTTGGAAGGGCTTTCACTGTTCTACTCTTACCATCATATGTATTTGGTCAGTCTACATATAGTGTGCCCTTTGCAAGCGCTGTGTGTGTGTGTGTCTTCCAGCTGACCGAGGGGCCATTCCCATGCAGAAGACGTCGCTGGTGATGTGGAACTTATACTCCGGGTCAAAAATCTTCAGCCACGCACGCAGTATGGTACTCTCAACCTGGCCAAACGCTGGTCTGTCGAGTGGTGTGAAACACAGGTTGTCGAGTGGTGTACAAAAGCAAGTTGTTTGGAATGTCGGGGCGCAAATGGCTCCAAAAGGAACATAGGACTTCCAAAACAAATCCAAAAACATCCCAAAACCAAGGGCAGGTGAACATTTTGAATGAGGAAGTGTTTGGCGGCCATTGGCAGCCACGAGCATTTCTTGGGTTTGATATGGTTTGATCGACTGACTCCCTATGTAGACTGTTGCAGGAAAATACGGGTGAACCGCACTTGCCAGCTGTTAGTGGAGAAACCAATGCGCAAAAACATGTACAGTGGTTTCAGAGTAGATGGCACAAACCCCTACATGTCTTTTAGATGGGGGTCCATATAAACCACCTCTTGGTGATTGTGCCATCTACTCTGAAACCACTGTACATTCCCTAGAACTAACATGGAAGTGGACAACCCCCCTGTTTGTAGAGGACATATGGTCTTTCCAGAAGCCATACCACGGTTCCCATCAGGACGTTGCAAACAGGGCATACATTGAAACCATCATGGAAGTGGAACAGTTCGGTTGGAGGATCATTCTCCTCTACAAGGGAGTCCTGGTCAGCTTCCATGCATTGATCATTCCTACCAACAGAGGTTGAAGGACACTATAGCCTATCCCATAGGTACCCCAGTAAGGTCCTATTTACGGTCACTTAACCTCTCTTGGTACACGGGGACGAGGCTTTTCCTTCGACCATCAACATGACCGCGGCGGCCCACTGCTCCCGGTGCCACCTGGTCCGGTCCGGGTCCGGTCCGGGTCCGGTCCGGTCCGCCCCCGGAGTGCGGCGACCGGAGTGCGGCCTCCAGAAGGAAGTTCTTCACCACGACCTGGCTGAGCTGCCAATGAGGTGCCAAGAGGTTTTCCCAACCCTGGGAGTCCAGGTCCCAAACCCTGGGAGTCCAGGAAACCCTGGGAGTGCAGGAAACCCTGGGAGTCCAGGTCTGATTGGTCGACTAGTTCAAAGAATGTGGTCCATCGACCTGAAGTTTGGAATTTCCTGGATTTCAGGTGCCAAAGGTCGTCTTCAGACTGCTAAGGAAACGCCATCAAAGAGACTTACCAGGACCATCCTGTCTGGGTTTTCAATGGACCACCTGATACTACTTGGGCATTGGATGGTCCAGGTATATCTTCCGCTCGGACTTGAACTCTTGGGTGGTCTTGTGAAGAGTGCTGAAAATATGTCAAGAAGGGGGGGGAGTATACAACACATGGTGAATGTTGTTGTTGTTTTGCTTTTCCTCTAGACTCTAGAAGTGACAAGAGATGACCACTGCCCTTATACAATGACAAGAGATCTTCCCTGGCTCTTGGGGTCTGTGCCATCTAATTACTCTCAATCCACTATGAGAAGAACCAGTGCCATTGACCTCTCCCCAGGCCTGCGGGGCCGGACCCTTGCGTGAGCGGTGCGAGTGGCGTCGACCCATTGGCAGCGAGCTGCGATGCTCCAAGTCATCCTGCCACAGTCGGCAGAAGGCGTCCCGATGGGAAGCGAAGAAAATGACCTGGTGATTCATGGAAAGTCTTGAAATGTCTTGAAATGCTCAGATGTCCACATTCGTGAATTTCATCCACAATCATACACATACTCTGATTCTCTCTTGATTCACTTAACACATCTTAACACCGTGCGCCCATTAAGCCATGCATCCCATCTTCCCTTCCCTTCACAGGCCTTCCCTGGTGAAGCACGTGCTGATCATCTTGCTTGATCATTCATGGGCTTATCATCACGTGCATCCAATTTAGTTCACCTGCTTCACTTCGCTCCAACAAAATGGCGCTTGAACGCCCCCCGGGTCTCGCTTTCCCCGCGCCCGCGCGACTGCTGCGCCTCCTGCTGCGACTCCTCCGAGTCTCTCCGCCGGTCCACGGAGGGCCGGCGGTGCAGCGAGAAGCGGTTGGCGATGGACAAGCGGCGCTCGCGATCCATGCATTTCATGATGGGGAGGAAATGTGTGGCCGCGCTTGGCGGATCTCCCAGTGGAATGTGCGAAGGTTCGGGATGGGGGAGGAGGATCTGGAGTGGAGCTTCACCTAGCTTCACTGGATGTGTTCGGTGGAGGTTGTCTCGGGTGCTTTTGGGCCAGCCCGGTAGAGTGGAGTGGGGCGGGATTGGGTGGGCCCCATGGGGTGTGTGAACTGTGTAGGTGTTTCTGTAGTGACCTTGTGACCTTGGTGTTTTTTTCTTTTGATACGAGCAGCGATGGAATGCAGCAAACTGAGTTTCGCAGGTCTGCGTGCGCAAAAAGCACAACACAGCTGATGTCTGGGGTTGTTCATGGTGCTCTCGTGGTGCCTGTCTACAAGCAAAGCTTGTGCTCTACAGCTTGAGTCACTACTGAGGCCTGCAGCGCCTGTGCCTGGCCCCTGCTGTGCGCCTTCTCAGCATGACATGCCACTGCTGCACTCAGAAGCCGGGAGCTTAAGCATTGGTTGTGGGCAATACTCCTACATCGAACACCCCCTCCTGACGCTGAAGCAACAGCACGGCGCTCGCACTTGGAATAAACAAAACAAAAACACACGCACGGCTGCTGACCAGCTGGGGATCTTCAAACAAATCGAAATGAATGACACTTCTCAATGAGTTAATGTACCAGGACCCTCCTGTCGGGGTGTCCAATGAACTACCCCACACCCCTTGGAGGGTCCTGGTAGACTCTTGACTATATAGTCAACCCCCCCCAGATCCAAAACTCATGTGAAGCTCCGGCCACTGCACATGCGCGCGCGGTGTGGAGCTGTGGGGGTGGGTGGAGGCCGGCCGCGCACCACTCGCGCTCCAAGTGTCTCGCAGGCGCGTCACAGCACCACAAACCTTCTCAGCAAGCTCCACAGCCTTGCAGAAAAACCGTTGGGATGCGGTGTTTGTTGGTTGTACATGGGGTCAGGTGATGTCAGGTGCCATGCGAAACAAGATACCTGCTGAAATCTGAAGCTGAAGGATCCGGGGCGTTTTCACCCTTTGAGGGATCATCTAAGACCAGGTCGAGCTTGGCCAAGGGGAACAAACCAAGAGTCAGCCGTGCTCGTCATGACTTCACCAGAGGATTTGCCGAATCGGGAGGGGAAGCATATGATATTTGATAAGTCCTTGTTTCAGGATGTTTCAGATGACTCTCCCTAGGGCTCCTGGCCCACCTCCTGAGGTTCGGTGGTTGGGGTGGGTGCCAGGGGGGGCCTAACCACCTTCTGAGGAGATGGTTGGAGCCCTAGGGTCTGGAAGTGATGTGAGTTATAGACATCGTGGAAGGGCAATTCTTCAAGCTCCAAGGGTCGCATTGCAGGTCCGACAACGGTCGGCGTGGGGTCGCTCGCCGGAAGGTGCTTCACCAAAAGATCCGCTCCGGGGTCAGGCACCGAAGCGATTCTCTAAAAAACGATTCTCTCCACATCTTTTGGAAATGAGTCACTCAAGTCAAAGCAGTTCCAATGCTCCTGTGGCATATCTTCCAGTCCCATAACAAATTGTCTGCACTTCTTTCTCTTGACGACAGTCAAGCCGCCTCAGGCTCTGCCGTGGCTTTTGCCAAGCCCTGAAGCTTCGAAATCAGTTGCTCCTTGAACGAACGAATCGCTCTCTTAAATGCACAAAGGCTGGAAAGAAAAGCTTCTGAACTTCCTGAAGTTCTTCAAACAACTGGGGAACTCCATATATTATATTATAATATATAGTTTACCTTCCGCTGCTTGTTCATTATCTTGTTGAATTGACTGCAGGTTGTTTCTCCCCAACGCTTGGACACAAGTGCTTGTCGGTGGCTGGATGAAGGAGCAAGCATACTTAACATCCAGCTATCCGGGCGTCCCCGGAGTTTGCCTCGGGAGCACATGGGGGGGTGCAAGTTGGCACAGATTGGCTACCCCCCCACACGCCCCCACAAAGCTTGGATTTGCGGTCCCAAAGCCGGGCAAAGGAACACCTAGTTCATATTGACCTGAACGGACTCTGAACAGACTGGGAATTGACCGATGGGAACAATAAAACACTGACCCTAAGCAAAAACCAAGACAAAGCAAAACAAAACCACTTGGTCAAAGGAAAATGCGCCAAGGATCAAAGTCCACCACACTTCCGCGAAAGCTTGCGCTATCGCGCGCCACCTCTTCAGAGGTGACGAAGCCCAGCCCAGGGAAGCCCAAGCCAAGCCATTGCATGGGGTACTTGAAGCATATTTCATCGGGCACGGAGAACGCACTGCATGATGCATGGGATGCATGGGGTACTTAAGTGCTTAAAAGCGTCTGATTCCTTATTCACTGAATATGATGTTCCATTCCCAGACACTCCATGGGACTGCCATATGCCTACATTGACCCCCAAAACCACCCCAACTGATCGGCATCTATGGCAGTCCCATGGAGTGTTTGGGATTTAACTTTTGGACAGTCCGAGTGTTCACCGTATCCCGTTTCCCATTTCCGAAAACAAGCGGTGAAGCGAACGAATTCCACCGGTTGGATTGGAGGGAATCCGAACTCCTCTTCTAGGGCCGGGTAAACGCTTATCCAGTGACTGGGTACCAGTCGCGTTGCTATAGGTGACCTTATAGTAGGACCACAACCTGGGGTTTTTCGGGGTATACCAGACTGGGATCGTCGAACAGTCGGGTTCTTCTTTGCTGCTGGACATGGAAGAGGTTTCTCCCTAAAGCCGAATGTTGGTCGGAGATTCAGATGAATCCCCCCATTGACTGCGCAATACCGGCAAGGTATACCGCTATGCCGCTGTGAGCAGTCCGTGAGGCTCGAGCTGGCCGCATGCCAGCTAAGAACATGTTCAACTGTGGCACCTGGCTCCTTGGGGGTGGTCCCACTCCACTGAATCAAAAGGCAACAAGGCGAGCCGAATCTGCCCAAGCTGGAACCTGCCCCTCCACAGCCAGGCATAGCTGGAACTAGCGATCCGCGACCGGGGTTCTAGATCTTGGACAGTTGTTGCAGTGTCTGGTAGGAGGGTCGCCTAGAACATTGAACCAAGTTGACCCAAGTTTTTTGGGACATGCATCCTTGCAGTAGATCATCCCTTTTTCATCATTCCAGCTGGCCACCCCCAAAGCACAAGCAAACATGCTTGGATTTGCTTGTATATGGAACCGACCACGGTCCAACAATCACATCTGGTCGAAAAAAGAGGTCGAAACACCAGGTAGAAGCGTCTATCATCCAGGAGTCACAGAGCTCGCGGTGGTGTGGTGGTGTGGCTCGTCCCATCTAGTGGATGTGGATGTGACAGGGGGCACCCCAAACCTTCCATGGAGTCCGCACCCCGTCGAACGTGACTGCTGGATCGTGCTTCAAGAACCGGGCAAAACATCACATTCCGCATGCCACAAAGGTAGTAGCCCAGTTCGGGGAGTCAGCCAAATCCGCCAAAACCAAGTCCGACCTGGGCCGTTGCAAAGAGGGAACTCCTGGCATAGAGAGCCAATTTGCACTGACCGATTTAGTCACCAGTCATCGCATCCGTGGCATGCCACACACCTGTAGCCTCTCAGGGCCTCCGAATCGGCCAAATACGACTGAGACCTTTTTGAGCCACCCGGGGTCCCACGTGGCCTGAGGCAAGTTGTGTGCTTCATCGATCACCACGACCGCGTCTTGCAGGACTTGCTCGAAATTACTGCTCTCCTTAAGTCATTCGAAAGGCGAGCTGAAGAGCTGGAAATGCGAGTTGGAGAGCTGGGTGCGATCTAATGCGAGCTGGAGAGCTGGGTGTGTATAGCTCAGGGAGTAGGGAGACCTCTCAGTTCACGTCGCCGAGGTTCGCTCAAAGCATCGAAGCGGTCTATTCAAAGACACCCATGTGACTGACCAAAGCTGGCTGGGATGAAGGGCGAGGGGACTCCGAGCCAGGCATGCGACAAAAGGTGGCCCCTCCACAGGATCATACAGGATCAACAAGTAAAACCAAGATCACCTGCAGAGCGTCAGTTGTTCCCCGGAGTGGAAAACATCCAAAGGCAAGGATGCACTTGAGATTCGTGAGAGGGAGCTCTAACATTGGACAAATACTACAATGCAAGAGTGATCCTCAAGAGATGAACAGAACAGCAAATACCCCTCCTTAACCTTAACTTTCAACTCTAGTTTTTGTTGTCAAGCAACCCATCAGTGCAGTGCTGTCGGCACATTTAGGCACCAGAACATGAGAAACCACTCCAAACATGTCCGAAGCATGTCCGTCCAACGGCGGTCGTCTCTAGCATTCTAAACCCAGCTGTTGTAGTAGAAATGGCCAAGGTCCAGGACCGGAGCGTTTTCCCCCCCTGGTGACACCTGCTCCACGTGCCGGAAGTCGAACGACGAAAATCGCCCCCGGGGCCATGGGGTGGCTAATCACCCATGTTCACCTCTAAGGAGCTATAGCCTTGGACACCCCGAGTGGCCGGAGGCCCCTGGTATAGATCTATCACCAATTGGTGACCTGAAAAAGCCTAACTTCCTTCACTTCCAGTCTTCCAGTGGTGCAACATCGAGTCGAATCACCCTTTCCACCACTCGGGTGTCTTCTTCACTTCAGCCACCCCCGGCGGGACGCTTTGCTTCCATCCTCGCTCCAGGAGTCTCGGACGCAGGGGTCCATGATTTGCGGATAGGTGCACAGAATCAAGGCCTCAGCCATGCGGGGTGATGATCGAGAACCCATTGGTGGGGGGTTGCCTATGATGTTTCAAACATGTTCAAACCGTTTCAAACCCATCTATGGTCGTCTAATTCTGTTGCCCGGTTTTGCCGAGGTGAAGGGTGGAACGCATGGCGATGCATGGCGGCCATGGCGATGCATGGCGGCGATGGCGATCACCGATGCATGTAGGTTGGCCACCGGGTACCCTCAAGCAACGCATCCCAAGGGCTCCTGGCCCACCTCCTGAGGTTCGGTGGTTGGGGTGGGTGCCAGGGGGGTCTAACCACCTTCTGAGGATATGGTTGGAGCCCTAGGGCATATATGTACCTGGCTGAAGAGATGGACATGTTGGCACAGCTGGAATAGTTCCAAGGTCGAAACAAAACACCGCCCGATTCCGCCATGTTCATTAAGGGGGGACCTTCTTGGAGCAATCGCCCGAGGTCGTCCATGTCGGTGGCTCAAAAGGGCTGGGTCTGATTTCGACGTCCGGATTTGGAGAATCTTCCCTGACGTCCCCGTTGCTTGGATCATAGGGTCCTAAATAAACATCCAGGAAAGGAAGGTCTAGGGATTCAGTCTTTGAAACCACTATGGACCACTGGCTAGCAGCTACAATCTGCTATATATCTGGATCATTGCAGCATTGCTCTCAACATCTTGTTTGGCTACAGTTGACAAGCAAGACCTGCACCCCCCCAAGCAAGGGTTCCACGTTCTGAGATCTCATGCACAAAGCAGTGATTGGGAGTCGGAACACGTCCAAAATGCTCTGATTGTTGGGACATCTTCTGCAATATGTGTGGGCAGTCTTTTCTATAACAATTCTGAGAAAAACACATACATATGTTCCAAACTCTCCTGGAGCCACATTGGAGTGGTGGAAAAGGCAGGGTCTGGCAAATTATGTGAGGCATACACTCAGCGAACATTCATGGAAGTGGATGGCATGGCCCTTGAATAACCATGGGACCATAAATAACCATCTTCTTCTGCAACCGGTGGTCCTCCGATTCCGCTCATGTTTGTGCATGATCTTCCATGCAGTCTGGCCAGCATTGGATCCCTCCTTTACTCTCCCCGCAGCCAGGGGGCGTCGCCCGGCCTCCGAAGTCCTCCTGCCTCTCTCCCTCCCTCCTCCTGCTGCCCGGGGCACTGCACCTTCGCCCGTCAAATCCATCGACGCGTGATACGGGCAGGTCTGCGTGTCCTCAGCCGCCGTGCCAGAGCGAACCCCCGGGCATCCCCGTTTGCGCGCCCAGCGTGCGGGCGGAGGTGCCAACAGGTGGAGCTGTCCCTGAGATCTCCCAGAGGCATTATCTTCTTCCATAAGAACCTGAGATATCCTGAGATCCCTTCCATCTCCATCCCTTTGATCACCAAGATGTCAGAACTTTGGGTGAAAGGGACGGACATGGAAGGACTGACTTCACTGGGGCAGTCGAATTCGACTTCGTGAAAGCCCGCCGGCTCTCCCGAGTCAAGGAACATGGAAGTGGAGTGAAAGCCGCCGGCTTGGTCTTCTGATATCATGGTCATCCGAAATCGGGGCGAAGTGCCATCCACTTCCATGACATCCGGGAGCGTCAGATCTTTCAATGCCTCTGGGATCTTTCGCCTGGAAACTCCTATGTTTGATGCTTTCTGCACTTTTGACCCATCAATGGATGAAATCCCAAACCAGGACCATGAGGCTTTTGGGCATCCACATGGTTTTGGACCTTTCTTGGCATCCACCAAACGCGACATCTCGTGAGATCCCGCGTGCATCCCACATAGGGTCTTGCTGAAGAACTCACACCAGGGCATGGGACCAGAACTCGAGGGTTTGAAGGACTCGATGGTTTGAAAGGCGGTCGTTCTGAAGCAAAAGCATCACGAATCACAGAAACGATTCATGTCCAACACCTGCAGCTGCCATATGGGACCTGCAGCGATGTTTTCAGGGGGATCAGGAGCCCAGCTGCATCGCTCGCCCTGTTTCGGCCGGTTTCGGCCCTGTTTCCAGCCCATCTGCCCATCTCCTAATCTGCATGACTCGTTCCGAAACACGACCAATTGGGGCTGGAACATAATATGCATGCTTACATTGGCCCTGTTTCAACCACCCCAACGTTTATCTAATACTATCACAATACCAGGACCTTCCAAGGGGTGCCCAATGGAAGCCCCAGCCCAACACTAAGGGACCTCCATTGGATGCCCCTTGAAGGTCCAGGCATACAGCTCATGAGTATACACTCCTCCACTGTTCTTTTCTGCGTGTTCCTGGCCGTGTTTCATGGCCCTCTTTCACCAAATCCTCAATGTCGTAGACCGCCAGAGTGCCACCAGCCTCGACCCCGTCTTCCCAGAACTTCTGGGTGGACCCAGATGCAGAACTCTGACACACGAGGTTTGGGGGCCCCAAATGGGTCGAATCCAAGACTTGAAGGATTTTAGCATTATATACAAGACATTACAAGACTATAATGATCTCCAAATAGATAGTGGCACGGTGTCCAATACTTGAGAGAGGAGGGGGTGAACGAAAGGTAGCAGGCAATCACAAGTAACCCTGGTAGAAGTCCACGACGGCGTGACCCGGCGCAGGGGGGATTTGATCCAGGGGGGGGGGGGGCCCCCCCCCCCCCGACGAACAGAATCAACTCTTACAGGACCAAATTCAATGCACAATCCCAACTCCTGATTGTAATACATTTTTGCTAAAGCAAGGAGAACTCAGGTAGCTCAAGCTACCTTTCGTGACATTTTGAGTGGGGATGTACTTTCCTATCCATTGGATTCCATTGGGGGGTCTATATATAGGTCAACTGAACACTTTGTTGAATGGAGCCGAAGGCTCTTTCAATTGACACAGATGTTGGCTGCCGGAATTGGTCCAACGACGACCATACCGGAGACCGAGGAGACCGAAGAGGACCCCACCCCATCGAGACCCTCCTTTTCCACCCCAAAGGGATCGGTCCATTTCGTCAATGTGCAAGTCCCAAAAGTTGTGGTCGTGATCTGGGATGTAAGAGGAGGCCAAAAGGATGTAAGAGGAGGCCAATACGGTGTTGGGAGGCCAATACGGTGTTCTAAGTACCATTTTGGAGGCCCGAGCCAGCACCCAGCACCCGTGCAGCAGTCACCAGGCCTCGAACTTGGCGCGGTGCTCTGCAATGGTCGGGTAGCCGATGGCCTCGGCGTTGTCCAGGTGCACACAGCCTGACATGCCACCTGACTGCCGCGCCGACAAAGCTCGGTGAGTGCCGAGTGTGCCGTGACGTGACATGTTGTGACCTTCCTCACCAAGCTGGAATGAGGAAACAGCATCCTTCTGCAAAAAAAAGATTGGCTGAAGGGCATCTTGACCCAAATATAGAGATAATACGAGATAATTAGATCATATTAGATCGATAGGTCGTATAGAAGAATGACAATGACAAATTAGCACCTAAATAGCACCAATAAAGGCTGACGGTTTCTGCAATTCCCTGAGACCTTAAATAAGAATCCCCACGCATGGCTTCGCCTCCCAAAGCATTGCCGTGCCGCGTCATGGTGGCCATCTCACAGGCCGTGGACTTGTCTTGTGCCTCGCCGGTCCCGAGAGCGATGTCGGTTCGGGCTCGAGTGATTCAGAGGGACGTGGGGCTGCATCCAATGCCAGGTCGGGACCTCAAATTCGGCTGGAGGTCATACATGGTCAGTCATACCCCCAAAAAAAACAAAAAAAGAACACACGCACACGCACATCACACCACTCAATGAACATTTTCAGGACTAGGAGACTGGACCTGGGTCAAACTGTCGACCTGAGACGCTTGAAACTCATGATCTGACTATCCCTACACCTCCAGTCGTACCTCCTCGGTATTTGGACCCTCCTGGCACCCACCCAAGTCCCACCTCAGAAGCTACGACTGGAGGCCGAACGGGTATATATGTGACCCGGCCCGGAAGTTCGGAATTTCTTGAGCACTGTGGTGGTGCTTCATGCATGGAGCCTTATGCCATACCAGTGTTTGGGTGTATCGGTTTCTATCGGTTTCTGGCTGACAGCCTTTGAGAGTTCCGTCAGAGACTGAACAAGATGGCAGGTATCAAATTCAAAATAAACGCCATTGATATCCATTGATACACCATTGCTAGACACAAAGACGCCAAATTGCAAAGTACAAGCCATCCAAAAGATCGACCAAAGGATGTGCAGGTTTCCAGGGCTCTCTCTTGATGCTCTAGGGTCGATGTTGGAGAGGAGCTGGAAGTGATTTTAACCACGATCTAACTGGGTGATCCGAAGTTAAACACTTGGGTGGTGTCAAGAATCGTCTTCACTGGACTCCTAGGAAAATAGGAAATTGAGAGTTGCCCTCCGCGCAGGAGTTGACCCTTCAGCCGGCTCAAGAAAGCCCAGGGTTTTTGCCAGGTGTGTTTCCTGGCATGTGCACGGAATCAGGCGCAGGGTGCGGTGCCGCGGCCCGAGAAGAGCCTCAGAGGTTACGAGGATTTGAGATGATACCCACACACTCCATGGGACTGCCATAATATATGCCGATCAGTTGGGGCGTTGCCAGGGGGGGTCAATGTAAGCATATATTCCAGTCCCATGGAGTGCATGGGATAGATGACCTGACCCAAACTTGGGATTCTCCGGTCGTGCGTCGGCGCCGATGGGCTGAAGCCGGTGGCGGAGTAAAGGCGAGTAAAGGCACAAGCTTTCCTCCCGGCTCCTGCGTCACACGATGGTCCTTCCAAACATCCCAAGAACCCTGAGAATTGCCAACAAAAAAAAAACTTCTTCAGGATTCCTAAGGAGCCCCCAAAGAAGTGGAGTATTGAACTGTTGAACTTCGAACATCTTCCAACACGCGCTTAGCGCGTCACCAGGCGTTTGGCGCCCCCCCCGGCGCCTGCTGGACGAAGGGGTGCAAGCAAAAACGCTCGCGCGAGATGCGCAGGGACTCGAGCGGTCGGTAGGGTAGGCGGCGAAGCTCGCGGATGGTGTGCTCCAACCTCAGGAACTTCGGTGAGTTGGGCATCAAGGTCTGGGGCGATGAGTTGGGCAGGGATATGACTCTTGATGAATGAGGTGGCCACAAGATCAGCAAAATTCCAACGATATCCTACACGAAATGACATCTCGTTGCAAGTCATGTAGAACGAAGCAGTTTCCAATTGATGAATGACCCCCCCCGAACCTGAAGAGATTTTACAATGCATGTCAGGGGGTTTTTATTCGATCAAGATCGAGCTTGCATGAGGTACTTCACAGTACCAAGACGAGTGGAAAAGCATACTCAAGTGGTCTTCCGAGGTGAGGGGGGAGAAGCTGAGGGATGACGCAGAAGACCCAAAGCTAGAAACGCCTCGCAACATACCCCGGAAGAGCATGTCGGGACCCTCCAGCAAATTCCACCCATACGGTGCGAACGACCGAGCGACCGACTAGGGAACCTTCAAGGTCTCCTGGTTGTGACCCACAGCCAAACCCAGACACGACACATGGGACTGCCATATATGCCGCCCCAGAGACCCCCCTGGCACCGCCCCAACTGATCGGCATATATGGCAGTCCCATTAGTCGTGTCTGGGACATGGGCTCAACACGAGTTCAATAGATCGCCAACCTTCAACACTCCGCCTGGAAAAGCTCGCCGGTTTTGCCGGGAAAAACCAGTGCTGGCCTGACATCATGCGCCTGACCTGCTATAAACGCCAAGTGGATTCGCCCAGACGTCTGGGAATCGAACATCTCCCCCCAAACCTCCCGAAAACTAGATCTGATGCTGCCCACTATGCTGCCCAGCATCTGGTCATGCGTGCGCGCGATCCAAATCACTCGAGGCACTGCGGCTGGCCCATCCGGCCCACCCCCCGTGCCGGTTTGCCCATCTGGCGCGGCTTGGTCATCCTTCCTGCCAGTCCAATGTTGGAGCAAGAAGGGATCTAAAAGATTGTATACACCTGTCAAATCTTGTCACCTATCCCAAACACTCCGGGACTAGAATCAATCCCGGCCCCATTGAGCCCTTTCCAACCCTTGCTGCTAGGTGATGCCAGTCCCAAACAGGTCGTGTCTGGGCTATCGTCAAATCGCCCGTTCACCATCGAAAGGGTTCAACCATCGCGAGCTCCCTACACTGCCCGAATCACGAACCACGACGAACCAATGGGCCTCTATTGGACCATGGACAGCCCCTTTGAAAGAGCATCTTAAGAATCTAACCTCTTGATTCCCCACCTTTGTAGCCTTTAGAATCAAGAGGTCACCAGATACAGATTTACTTTCCTTTTCGTAGAAAGATGTGAGAGAGAAGAAAGGTGGTTGAGTGCCCTCTGGGTGCCGGAACTCGTTGATGCTCAAAATGCAGAGAAACTCGACCTGCTAACTCTGGGCCGTTACAATGAACAAACTGCTTCAACTTCTTGGACATGAGGCAGTCGCAAAGACGGAGACCCATGAACTTCATGGGGTATAACTTCTAGTCTTCGTACCTCATTCACCGGGAAGAAAAGCCAAAAAACATCCCCCAGAAGGGGACCCACCCATAGGGAAAAGTCACCTTAAGCAAAACCAGGGCTTCATCTTTTACCCCAACTCCCTTTCCCCGTCCTGCCCAAGCGGCTGGCGGGTGCAGGTGGCAGGTGATGCCCCTGCTGCTGCCAGGATTGAAAACACCTCCGCCGGGGAAGGCATTCAGGGTATTCCATCGGCTGAAGCTCAACGGCAGCTTGAGAGGAACCCTTGAAACGCTTGAAAGATAGAATGGTAGTAGAACAATGTAGAACATATATACTGTATGGGTTTGTCATTTCTTATTAAGACCTCCTCGTTGGATCCCTAGATGTTTATCCCATCTAATCAACAAAAAGAACACCGGGTCCATCATTCGGAGACCCAGGGGTCGTTCTACAGAAAACGCTTGAACACGCCTGACGCTCAAACACTCCATGGGACTGCCACACCCCAAAACAGACCCCCCGACTTCAACCACCCCTGGCCGGAACTCTCGGCAGTCCTATGGCAGTCCTCTTCGTCGAGTTTGGGATTCCTTCCCTGGGAGATTTTGGGACTGTTCCCGGTCGGCGGACACCGTGCGAAAAGAGATCAGCGATAAGGGGGGGAGTGGCGGCATCCTCTCCAGCCATTCATGTTGGTGGCATTTCGGAGGCTCGAGCGAAGTCGCATCTCACCTCACAATGCGCCCGAACACATCACCAATCGACCTCATGGTCCGTGCAACTTGACATAAACTGAACAACACCGGTCTTGCAACCTCAAGTTGATGTCAAATTTGACTGGACTCTTGCTACAAAGGATGTTTGATTCCCACCCCAACTCTGCATCATCCCACCTCCACTGGAAGGCCAAGGATGAAGTGAGGAGTGCCAGGGTCCTGGGACAAGAAGCGAAAGAGGTCCTCATGGTTACGTGGACGGCATGACCCCAAAATGATGACCACTTTCCGAATACCAAACAGGTGGTTTTCACTCCACTTCCACGACTTTGTCGGGGAGTGTAGCCCGGCTGGCACATTTGATCTGTATGTTGCACTTCTAAGCTTAAAACCCCAGATTCCTACTAGGATCATCCTGTTTGGGTGTCCAATAGACTACCCTACCCTACTCATAGGTCTCAAGACAGGGCACCAAACAGGAAGTGCAGAGAGCACTTGGAACCCCACACCGTCCATATTTGTCCGTTGTTTAGTTCGAGACGCCGATGATCCCCGCCACGGGTTCCCACGTGAACGCCAAGGCTCTTTCCCGTGCCGGTGGGGCTTTCCAGCAATGCCACCGTGCGTTTCTCCATCGCTTCCACCGCGGCTGAAAGGAGTTGCAGCTGCGAGGGGAGTGGTTCCACGGGAAACCAAGCCTCCAAGCCATTGACGATGCTGCTGGAGCAAAGCCGCTCAACCTCTCGGGATTGTCGACCAAACCCCGATGCAAAAGGTCCGAAACCAGTGGTTGTCGGGGTCCATGTTCGTCTGCAGGGAGAGGTTCTTAATCGTTGGCTAGTGATGGATAGTGGAACATAGTGGGACTAGGACTGGGACTAGGTTTCCAAACCTGGCTACCTCAATGAAGCATGTGGTCGACGGGCTGTTGTTCGCTTGTAGTTTCTCTTGGCGAAGAAAGTCCCGCAACATCTGGTCTCCGAACATCCCTCCCAGTTGGCCACCTTCCATTCCATCTATTTTCTATGATGACTCGTTCCTTCATGTTTAACTCCACGCCTCTTCCATCCCTTCCATGGTCACCTCTAAAACACTGGATCTTCTCTCCCAACCCTCCGCCTCTGCAGAGCGGTTCCGGGCACTCCCGCGCACTCCAGGTGCTGAATCGTCCCGCCTGGTGGTCATAGCCCACCACCGGCGGTGGCAGCCGGATCTCCCAGAAGCGCAGCGCGGTGTTGCGCTCGCGGCGGTCGCGGCGGCGTGCCGTGGCTTCAGAAGCGGTGAGGCGCTTGAAGCGTTTGCCGGGCGGCCTGGGCACGGGTCAAAGTAGAAAAAAAATCCCAGGCTGGGCACTGGTGCTCCGTCTTTGGACTTTGAACACCAACAAATTCACAGGCAGGATGTGTTAGAGACCTTGGGCGTCGATCGTCTTGTCTTTTTCGTGCTTAATCCAGCACTGGTGTCAACCCTCACGTCAACCCCAGGCTTCCAACCACCAGTTTTTAGATTTATTAAACGCACTTACCAACCAACCGACCCAATCATTAGTGTTACACTTCGACTCACTAACATGGAAGTGGAGAATGGGCCCTTGGAAGATATTGGAAGATTACCTTCCTCTAGAAACAGGGAGTGTTGCACTTCCACGTGATGTGTTCGTCTGAGTGCACTCAGGATTGGCAGCTACGGAACCTAGGTCCTTTCATGTCCTTTCCAATGCTTCACATGGTGAAGGCGCGCCAATCCCTTCCGCCGAGTGTCCCCTCAGCCCTGGAAGTCCAAAACAGCAAGGAGCTCTGCCGTCCCCCGGACCGCGCCGCGGCCTGCGGAGCCGGAGCCGGAGCCGGCGCATGCACCGAGGGTTTTCGCAGGGGTGGAGATGGGGAGGCTGGGGAGTCGGGAGCCTCCGCAGTTGGAGACTCCGAGGAACACATCGGATGGAAGTGGATGACCTGGAAGAAGACAGACAAACAAACAAACAAACAAACAGTGGAGTTAAGTTAGTGAATCAGAGTGTAAAGTTTCAACTTTCATGGGCTCCTCAGAGTCACTGACTGGATCACAAGGAGCTTCGCCTTGGATGGTCCTGGTGGCTCGAGATGCTCGAGAGGACGATGCCTATCATGGGGGCAGAACCGGGCGACCCGGTTTCCCCACCAAACATGAACAGAATAGACGACCTGACAAGGTGATGTGCACCTACCAGGAGCTTGAGTCATGGATGCGACTTTTCACCCTACCGTGCACAGGGATGTGTCAGCGAGGTGAACAGAATAGACTACCCAGGGAGGTCAACCTTCCCAGGGTGTCCTGGGAGCTCCGGGTGCCACAACCAAATGGGTTCGGTGACCCCGCGACGGGGCATACAGTGGTTTCAGGGTAGATGGCACACACCTCAAAGATGTTAAGTACATGGGGGTTCATATAAACCACCGACATTGGGACGCATGTGACTCTCAATATCTCTCAATCCACTATAGGACCCTAGGCCTCTCGCCAAGTGAAGTGAAACAACTATACAACCATGACCATTTCTGTTCGACCTTCAGAAGCCATCTCATCTCAAATGATGACTTGCAAGTGAACCGCACGCTCAACAACAACAACAACAACAACAACAACAACAACAACAACAACAACA